GAAGGGTAAGAGAGAGAGAAAGAGCGAGAGATGATATAACGATATAAATGTTAACAAATATTAAGTGTCTCAGAGAGGATTAGGATTAGGTTTGATCTCCAGTGAAGTTTTTTTTTAATGGGATGTAATGAGAGAACGAAGGGTTATTATGGAGCAGTTTACTAGGGATTACTCCGAGTTCTTCAAGAATAAGGTTCAATTAAAGTGCCCCTATGATGGATTTTTGAAAATGGCCTTTCATGCAGTGTGTAACAGCTCTAGGTGAATAAAAAAATCCTGCAAAGTTTTAAATCTGAAAGTGCACCGTGTATAAAGTTATTGTCTCTCAAAAGAAAGAGTCAACTCTGAATCACTGAAACGAGTCGTTTTTAAAACGAATCCCAAGCCGTTTTGACGTCAACATGAAACATTAGCATATTGCCCGCCCACTTGTTGGTCTTTTCGCGTTGGTCTAAATGCAAATTCATTCTTTGCCACTAGTTGCCGCTTTTGGAGCGGTAGAATAGCGGTTTCCCCGGTAACGCTGTACACAAAGCAGCACTGCGCTCACAAACACTGCTTTATCAGGCATTACAGGCGAGATTAAATGAAAATGAGACCAATCGGACCAACCACCGCAGTTTAGCGTCACGCAAAGGAGGGGTTTGGAAAAATGAATTGTTAAACTAATCATTTGGGAGTCGTTGAGCAAATAAGGTAAAAATAAATGCATATTATAAGACAATGAAAGTGTTTTTTGACCTTGCATGCATGTCAGCCTGTTGTTGGGGACTCCCAAAACCAAAATATGAACCGTTCATAACCCATAATAGAGGCACTTTAAATTCAGCGTGATGTGTAATTTATAGTGAAAGACGGCTCTTAATATTCATATTTTCACAGCAGAGCACTCAAAATGTGTTTTACAATAAACCAATTAAACAATTTAAATAATGGAAATGAAGCTGAAATAAAATATAAAATTAAATATAAATTGTATATGAAAAACTTAAATTAAAGTAAAAAAAAAACTTTTAAAAATGTACAAATTTGAAATGTTGCCTTAGCAACAAACTGAAATAAAATAAGTTGAAGTTGAAGTACTAAAGATTTGTAAAACTGAAATAAATACTGTATAAATAATATAAATTAGAAACATAAGAAAACTAATAAAAATGACAAGAGCACATAAAATTACTAAAGTGTAATTCAAACTCAAATGTAAATATAAAAATAGGCTAATATAAATAAATACTAGAATAATATATAAATAATACTAAAATAAATAACTCTGTCCTGAATACACTGCATGTATCAGTCATGGCTGTAGCACAAATGGTGTGGGTGGGTTACATGTTAAAGATTATTATTATTTTTTAACTTCTAACCAAAAGCACAAAGGTTAAATTCAACCTCAATTTCAGATCAAATAAATTTCATTATTGTGCAATTATTGTACACCAACAGATCGTGCATGAAATCAACTGAATAAATAACAAATATAGTAAATAAAAACAAATATGCACTTTTAGGACATTAAAAATGTATTTTTTCGGGTGGGAGGGGGGTTCTTACACAATAGCATGTTTCTCTCATGAGGATCCTCCCCCTGGTGATCACTTGATTGCGTCAGAGTCTGTGGCCCTTGAATCATGCCATTAAGCTCATAAAAGATTATGCAACACTGGCAGAATGCACAGGTTTTAGTTTTGCTTGATCAGACGGCTGGTGGCACCGTGACAAATGTGCCCAGCCGGCACTTGCGTCCTCACTCAATTAGTGGCTTGGAGTATTTGTAGTTCTCATGTCTACCCACAGATCTCTGCTCAAACACGACTACAGAACGTACAGACACTGTTGCTGTCCCCGACGGGTCACTATGTGGTAACGGGGCAGTGCGATTCATTGGTCAATTATGTCACACCAGCGCACACGGCAGCTGGAGGAACAGGAAGTGTGTCAGCTGCTGAATCAGCAAAACTCAGCAGCACAATTTATATGGGGCTTATATCTGTCTCTCTTTCAAGCAAGAAAACATTGAAAGACAAAACCGGTTGCGTCGATGCAAGTCACAGTTTTGTTGCTGTTCAATTCCACAGTAGAGCCATTGTTGCTTTTTCACTGAAGCATGTGATGGCAAACAGGAATAAAGACAGGTAAATATGAACCAACACAGGTGGTATGGGATCGGGTTATAAGAGAGATCATTTTTGCTCTATGTGAGTCTTGAGTTGCTTATAAGATTAAGTTTTTAAGATTTTTATGTCAAAATACATTCTCTTACCCCAGTTTATTCTTTATTGACCATAAGTATGCCATTCATGGGTTTATATCCCAGAAAAGTGTAAATATTGAGCCTCCCAGGCACCATCAAAATATTTAAAAGCGATTAAAAGCTCAGTTCCGTCAATCTTTCCAGCTTAACCAATAGCAAGAGTTTGGGGGCATGGCTACTGTAGCAGGCTGAGCCAGATGGTGTTTAGCCGAGGTGGGAACATGGTAGATGTGTTACATGGGAAATTAAATTCAGATTTGGTTACAGAAGTGCAAGCCAAATTTCGAAAATGTGCCAAAACATGCAGTAGCGTGCTTTTACAAGATGGTGGATTTGACAGGATGTCTGGAGCTGCATCTCTCATATGACGCACTATGCACTAGGTACTTATACAACTCAACCGTGTAGTTTATGAACTATATAAGGTATATTTTGTAGTCTTGCACAGCCAGACCTTCAGACTGACGGCTGAAGGTCTGGAATTCATGGTAGCTTTCATTGGCCAAGGCCCGCCCATGAGGACGTTTGACCTACATGTCAAACAACCAATCACAGTTCATTTCGTTTAAGCATCACGCTTCGGGGGCGTGAAATTGTCGCCATAATAACAGACCGGTGTGTAAAACTCTCGGACGTATTTTAAAGATTCTATGCCGCGAACTTGAAATATTTCACATACTTTTGAGAATCCAGCGTTTAGTTGATCCTGATAAGCACTCATCGTCACAGCTGTAAACATGACGGCTTTCTTCTTTCGTGAGGGGGTTTGGCACCATGGCATCTTTGTTTCCAGGTGGAATGTTAAAGAACACGACACACACGTCTCCCGGAAATCCTGTATAATTCAACCAATCCGATGACGACTTCGAAACTCCTGAAGTGTTTCCACTTTTGTGTGCCGTATGCATCAGACGTTCAGCCAATGGTCAGTGGGCGTGATGTTTGAGGCTGAGACTACTTATTTTGTCATTCATAATCTGAGTCTGATAGCCTCTCCTCCTCCACTACATAATTAAAGCTGCAACAGTTGGGTGCATGAAGTATCCAACATTCCACACTTTGTTTTTTTCGGTTATTTAAGTGCACTTTTTCTTTTTGGATTTTTCAGTGTGAACACTCTACTCACACTACTTATACTACAAAACGGCATTGACCAGTGCATAAGTACGTAACAGGGACACACCTTGGGTTTCAATCCAGACGCCGAACAGAGTTTCTTCTCGGCAGAAAATGGTGCATTCCATTAGTACATGGAATTAAGAAATTCTGAGTTCCCAGTCAGAGTTCTGATTCTGAAACGTCGAGGTAAGTTTAATTTTTAGGTGAAATATTCCTTTAAATGTACCAATGCAGTGGTGTAAAGAACTAGAGCATAAAATGTTCTTTGTGTTCTAATTGGAAATAATTGGTTATAATTTGACTCTAATTATGAATAGCATTATTTTTCTGCAGGTCAAGGCAGGGCAAAGAAGGGTTTCAACTGAATGATCCCAACCATGGAGAGCAACAGGTGAGAAGACATGCTGATGAGTTATGACAACAACCAGTGAAACGGGTAATAAAGAACCCTGTCGGCATGACAAATTGACCACAAATCCCCCAAACCATTCTCATATAACAGGCTTTATCCAAACACACACATATTGTGTCAGGCACTCAAAATACAGGTTTGCATACAGCCACAGGATAACTCGCAGTATCTGCTCCCGGCTGCTGTTATAGACCTGAAGATCAAACAAAGAGCTTGCAAGCCTTCAGCCAACAGTTCAATCTGATAAATGCCAGCTCGTGTTTCAGTATTAAAGTCCAGTTTGATTTACAACAACTTCTGGCAGGGTGTATGTGTGAGGAAGATGTGCAGAGCAGAAGTAGGTCACATGTGTTCAACATGATTAATGACAGCTAAAAATATCATCTTCCAACCAAAGAAAAGAGAGAGGGATTATAGCAGGATTTCAGATGAGATGAGTAGGTCACTAAGTTAGCCTCTGATACAATCAAAGTATGATGAAATGCTTACCATTTAAACTATTTAAACCTTATGTCACAAAAATCAATAGATAGATAGATAGATAGATAGATAGACATAACTTTCTATTAGTCATTACAAGAGGTTAGCATATATATATATATATATATATATATATACACACACACACACACACACACAACTTTCTATTACTCATTACAAAAGAGGTTATCAAAATGTTTTGAAATGCTTACCATTTAAACTATGATTAACTGTGTGTGTGTGTTTGTGTTTATAGATAGACATAACTTTTAATTACTCATCACAAAAGAGGTTATCATATATACTATATATAGAGGTTATCATATGATACATAACGTTACACATCACTTTTTGCAAATATATATAATTTATATAAGTTTTGCAAATACACTCATTGGAAAATATATGTAAAGCATACATAAGACTATATGTGTGGTCACGGTTGTATTTAACTATTAATCCAATTATCTATCAGTTAAAAAAACATACATAGTTTGAAGAAATAAAGTAATATAGGTGACTAAGTAAACCTCTCTGGGTCGCCAGAGATAAAGAAATGTCTGATAGTCATGCACAAACCATACATTACACTACAAACCAAATGCACCAAGATCAGCATCAGGATCAAATGCATGTTTAAGGAATTATATACTGAAATTATATATGCAGTATATATATATATATATATATAAGAATAAAAGTTTTGATGCATAAGCACACGAAGAATAACGTTACCTTTTCTCTGATTATGTTCCGGCAGTGGTTGCAGATGTCTGTGGTTCCGTTCATTCTGGCAAGCTTAAACCAGGCGAAGAGCTGAATCCCGGTCTTAGTGACGGTGTACTGGTCTGGGCATGTCCGCTGCCAGCCCCTTTAAGGACGATCAAGACCTGAAGGAGTACTTGAGACTCCTCCGTATCCCTTCGCAGTGCGCAGAGCTCTGTCCAACTTCAACATGAACTTGTGCTACACGCCCCCTCAGCTGGCCTCTTTCTATCCGACTCCCGAGTGAATCAATCTTGTGAACCGATTCGTAACGCGCTGGTGAATCACTCAACTGATGACTTCGTTTGGGTAAACCTGTGAGATTGAAAAAATATATATATCGAGAATAAGTAATATTAACATTGCCAATAATTAATAATATTACTTTTATCTATTATGAACAAAAAAAATATTTCTCCGCTAGTTGCGAAGTACAAGCCTATACTCTAAAACATTAGTAACAAAACAATAGTAGCCTACTGTCATTATTTATCACATTATTGTAGATATAAACATCACAAATATATCACAAATTCAATGTGTTTTGTTTAAAATGTCTCAAGATTTGAGAGATGACTCAAAAGAATCGGTTCATTAGACCATCCGTAAGAACCAATTCGCTAAAAAAGAACAGACATCGCAATGCTATTCTCTTCACGAGCCACTGCCCCCCTCCAACTTTTTCTCTCTTGTCAAGACGTTTCTCTCACTTTAAGTGTGCTGCATATCAAACATTTTAAGACTATCTGTGAAGGGCCTTGTATATTTTTTCATGTACAGAGTTAAACTATTCAATTATTTTGTATGCAGGCAGGGGCTGAATGTTTTATGACTTAACAGTTCCCAATGAAATGTCTGTGCTGACTCAGGTCAATGGCTCATATAACCTCTAATAAAACAGTGTATTGCACCAAGATGTCTGATTAGATTTCACTATCTCTATATTTTTCCTAAACTGCTTCTGAAACACATTTGCTCTCTTTCAATATGCATTGACTGCTTTATTTTCTAGGGAAAATAAGCATGGCTGTTCAAACAGTCATTGTCTGGAGTGCAGGGAACGCAACTCAATTGTCTTTTTACAGTGTATGCAAACAGGAGCCTTGAATAGAGTTGGGAATTGCTGACTGAGCGGAATGACCATCAGACGGTGTGGACACGAGCCAAACCCAGCAGGGTTTTGGTCCACGGGTTCATGAAAGCAGCCCACGGTGTGCTACTAAAAACATTCCTATGATCTCCGACTGATGTTGGAGAGTTCAGATGAAATGAATGCCAGCCTACATAAACTTGTTCATGCTGTGATGTTCTGTTGTTCAAATAGATTGCAAAATATCACTCAGCTTCAAGTTTCTGCCTAAAGTTAGGGAGTTTTTCTTCTAAAAGCATGATGGGGCAACATACAGCACATGTTAGCAGTGCTTTAGCATTTAGTCAGCAAATTCCATGGTGATCCTTAAACATTAAACCCTTAAGTCAAGAAAATCCGCATGGATCTTGGTTGAAAAAGAAACCCAAACTGACAAGCTGTCTTTTTTCTTCCCTGCCACCAGAGTTTAATTTCACCCGGCAACAACGTGATGTCATCAGGAGAGAGAAAAATCAGCCAATCACATTGCCAACTGATCAGCCAGAGGTCACAATGCTGTATCCTAGCAATGGCCAAATGGTGCTGGTGTGAACTTCCTGAGACAATCTAGTTTTATGCAATCTAAAAATCATGTCAGTGGATTTTGCACACATTTTACAACCCCAACACACACACATCTGTTCACAGATAGAGCTGCAGAAAATTCCAGTGTTATTTAAGGACCATTCATATACGATTGTAGATTTTGTTAATATTTTGAATTACTTTTTATTTTTATATTTTCTACTTTCATTTTAATTTTAGTTATTTAGTTATTCAAGTTATGCTAAAAGAAAATGAGAAATTTAGCTACAATAAAATTATATTTTATTTCATTTCGGGTAATGATTTTTTATTTATATTTTAGTCTCACTATTATTTTCGCTTTTGTTAACAATTTAGTTTCAGCTCAGATTCCCCACAAAATCTATATCTGAAACCTTTTTTAAACAGTTGCATCATTGTTTGTTCAGTTTTGACTAATGCACACTAACTAGGCTTATCATTAATGTAAATAGCTTGACAAATTTTAATCATTTGATATAATACAGATATACTCAGTATTGTGGTGTGTGCTTTAAAATGCAATCCTGCAGCAGGACTGCCACCCATTTCCTCCTATTCTGTGAAGGGCTGTTTAGGAAGCCACATTTGTGTGTTTGTGAGTGTGTTTAAGCCTGAATTCTAGCAATGGTTCATTTGCTGCCAAAGGACACATGCAGTGAAGCCCATTTCCATTCCATTCAAAGACATTTCCACAGTTATGACTGTAAAGCTATATGCATGTGAACGTGACCCTGCCTATATTTTATTAAGCCATTAAGTGGGCCTAACTTTCCAGTTCTCACCCAGACAGACTGACTTAGTGTCTGTTTTATCAGATGAAAGATCTGCAAGTCTTTCCTGGGTATTACATGTTTAGATACAGAGACAGTGGGAGAGCCTGTCAAACAATCAGTTCAGCTGTGAAAGCCTTATGTAAACTTACTTTGACAACACCTAAAAATACTTTGATTAAATCAAACTAAATCCAGTTAAATACAAAATCAAACTCAAATATAACAATCAAATATAACACCTCCCTTTTCTCTCACCCTTTTGAGTGTCCTAGAGCACCTTTGATTTGTCTTTTTGATATTTGAATAAATGTCACTAAGATCACTTTGTAGACATTTATAGTAGTTCTGTTTAGCTATTAATTCGGCATTTGCAAAACATTTTAGGAGTCATTTTATGAAACCAAACAAGACAAATAGTGTGTTTATTTATTAAATTACATTGTGTAATCTTAAGCTAAATGAATACATGCTTTAAAAGTGTTAGGATATAATTATGTTATCAAAGGTAATAAGGTTGAAAGTTTCAAAACATAATACATTACAATAAATTGATATTGATTCTGCATAATACTCACTCAATTATCAGTTGTTCACTACACAAAATACAAAAATACACTTTGCAAAAAATATAAAATAATTTAAACAAAAATACAAAATATTATAATCACACATATAATATAAATAAAATATAATATAAAATATAATATAATAAATAATATTATTCAATATGATAATATTAATTCTAAATTAGATTCTCTATTATATTATTATCATAATGATATATAATTATAATATTTTTTGCATATTTTGTGTGTGTGTACATATATAAAATAATAAACATTCTTGGTAATAATCAATATTATATTATATTATTCTGAAAATAAAATATATCATTGTAATTTTTGTGCATATTTTTGTTTGTATTGTTTATATATATATATATATGACACCCATAGAACGACCCTGAATTGTGTGTTTACCTCAGTGAGCTAACACTGCTGTTTTCTGCTGAGCGTAACTACTAAAAGGTCACTTCTTGTGATAACAAAGACAATACGTTCACTTCATAAATTCCACGTACAGGCTACACAGAAGGTAAGCTTCCAGGGAGAGACAGACAGATACAAATATGTCGAACGGAATGTTTACTGTGCAGCTCCTAATCCCAGTGCTTAGTGTAAATATTTTACATAACTTTTCATTTAGGATCTTTAAACATGTCACAGGATTAGGAATTACGTGAGTGATACGATTGTGCAAGGATTTTAAAAACAAGCAGGGAACGACTACAGAAAAAAATCCTGGAAATCTGGCTTCCTTAAACATAAGAAAAAATATTGAAGTCGGTGGAGAGGGAGTTTTATGACTACTGAAGGTATAGAAGATATGGAGTTTGGCATGAGAGGTTATAAAAAGCGAGAGAGGGAGAGCAATAGTTTATTTCTCTGTGAATAAAGGGCCAGGAATGTTTAAGCCCCTGCATGTGATTTTAGATTAGAAAAAACCCTCAGGAATCTCTGCAAACCTCCACTTTTACTCCTTCACTTTTTCCCAAACTATCCTGCAACCCACTCAGATAAGGGGACGTGAAGACAGAGAATGTGAGAGGGGGCTGTGAGGAGGCTGGTGTAGGGTATAGAAGTAAACAGAAACAGAGCATGTGTGTGTACGTGTGTTTGTTTGCATTAGTGTGAGTGTGTGCGCGTGCAGTACAGGGGTCAACACATGTAGTAGTCTCAGGCTGAGGGTTTTCTGGGACTGAGTTGTTTGGATAAGTGGGGGAAAGTTCACAGCTCAAAGACTTCTTTCAGTCCCAGCATGCACTGCCACAGCTTTCTTCTCCAGTCCACTGAAAAAAACTAAACATAGATGCTGAACATTTTACTTTTTGTGTATATATTTATATTTTATCATCATCATCAAATTTGTTTTTTAAAAACAAGCAAACAACAAATAAGACCATATACAAGAACACACACACACACACACATACACACACACACACACACACACACAAATTAATGTTACAAAAATGCAACAAAATATGTATATTATGTGCCTATTAATTGCATAGGCTTACGTATTCATTTACACTTTTGTCTCTTGCTTTGCAGCTTCTTTCCATAGAGTAGCCTAACCATGATAACGAACATTACTGCAAATATGTTATGTATATATTTAGCCTACATGTGCAATTTATTTCCATTGAATAACGTTTTCGAGTTGTAAGTTGTATGAGTGTGCAAAGCAAAAGAAACAACATAAAATGGAAAAATAATTTCTCGTTCGGCCTTTGCCTGACAAAAGGAATCGTGTGATAAATTTACCTGCTAGCGGCCTCTTGTGGACAAATGTTGAAGCAAAATGTAAAAAACAAACTTTTCTAAGTATCGTGCTGTCCAAAAGATGGCGCTGCTTGCAGGCACCCTCTTACTAAAACAACTTGTGTTTTAGACTGTCAACTAGGACGATACATTTACATTGTTTTTGCTTGCACAGATAGATAGATAGATAGATAGATAGATAGATAGATAGATAGATAGATAGATAGATAGATAGATAGATGCACCAAATGC